TTCCCATCCAAACTGTTCTGTGATTAAGCAATTAGACTGAAAAAAGGAAGTTTTTGGCAAGTCAGAGGTCTGAACCAAATCCCAGCAAAACAGGTCCAGGCTACAGCTTTTCCAGTGGATTCATCTCTGCACACGGAGTTTTCGGAGACATTTTAGCGCTGGTGGCTCCAGCACACAGAGGGGTGAACGATTCAGTCCCCGAGCACGCACGCAGCTGTAACAGAGAGAAGTTCCCTCTCCACGGGCACCTGACAATCCTTGTTGTTTTCTAGGTTTTAAAATCAGGGAATCTCTTCCAAAGAGCCGCGCTCCGAGCCTGCAGCCTGTCTGAACTGCAGGATTATGCAAGAAGAAAGATCTTATCTCATTTAAAAGAAATTCATTTTTCATTTGCCTCAAAGCTTAACAGCCTTTCCCTTTAGCAGCATCTTACATCTAGCCTGGACACGCCTGGCTTCTGCCTCCAGCACCTGGATCTCACCCTGCCCTTTTCTGCTGGATAACAAAGTCCTCCCTCTGCTATTCGGGAACTAATAGGTGGAAAGTACCTGGCTTTCACCTTGCCGTCACCCCCAAAGAAAGCAAACAGGCTACAGTGAGGTTCCACCTCCCCAAAACCATGTTTCCTGACTCTCACGACACTTCCCGGAAAGCCGGGGATGGTGCAGAAATTTTCCCCCCGAGCAGCATCTGTGTGGAATGACTTGGCACCAGTTTACCCGGCGAGGAGCGCGTAACTCCGGGCCGGCTCAGCCGTACCTTGTTGTAGTACTGCAGGCGTGGAGTAGAGATCATCTCGCCCTCCTCGGGTTGGATCAGCCTGTCCAAGAATTCTTCTCTTCCCACCTCCGAGGCAGCTTGGCAGAAACAATCCAAAGCCTAGGAGCAGAGCGGAGAGCAGCTTGCCGGTGTCCCCTGGGGATGGACCCAGCCTGCTGTGACAGGACAGCGCTGCCCGCTCCAGTGTACGAGACGTGCTGGCTCCAAGCTAACGGGAACTTCACCCCGAGCAGATCCCAACCACCTCCCTTCAATCCCATTCTTTGCCCAACAGAGGGTCAAGGTGGAAGTTTCCTGACCTCCACAGCAGAAAAAAGGCTGGTCCTGTGCTCCTCCTCCCACCCAAGGGAAAAGGTCCCAGATCCCAGCGGGAAGCAGCCCTGAAAGAGGACGAGGGCTTTACCTTGTGCCCCTCGCCCAGAACAAGGTAGCAGCGGCCCATCATGAAGCAGCAGGAGCCCCTGTTCACGTGGCACCAGGGCTGCAGCAGGCGAATGTATTCCTGCAGGAGAGGAGGAACAGGAGTTACAGTTCAGGTCAGCACCCGCTCAGGACCTGCAGGCACCCAGCACCAGGAAGGGTTAGATCTGCAACACCAAAGTGTGATTTTGGTGGCTCCTTTCGCTGCTGTGCTCACACAAATCCTGCTCTTCCAGCTCAAGAGCTGGTTTTCCCAACCCCAAAGACCCTTTGGTGCACAGATGGGATCCATGTGCTCCCGGGAAACAACCTGCTCCCAACAGCCATAGCGTCTGTACAAAGCGCCTCAGGAACAGCACCCAACACCCCCAAAAATCAGCACCGATGCACTGTAAACCTGCCGCAGGGAGCCACGAAAGGAGCGTCACCTTGGCCTGCAGAGAGCAGGAACAGGAGCCGGCATGTGGGAAGGCAGCAGGAGAACGGGCAAAGCCGGCGTCAGAAGGGCAGGAGAGGGAGAGCAGCCGAGGAAAACCACGGATTACAGCAACCAACTGACAGGCACGGGGTGGAATGCTGACGGCACCAAGGACAGGCCGTAAATAAAGGCACAACACGGATGCTGGCCAAAACTACGGGGAGACACAACTCAGCCTGGCCCCATGCCTGCTCCGTCAGGATAATATAAGGGCTGCAAAGTGTCATCACCTATCAAAAGGCAGCTAGGAGGCACGATGAAACCTCAAAAGCTGGCACCCCTCGGGCCTGGGAGCGTGGCGTATGTTCTTCATGCTCGGAGACACGATGTCGCAGTAGCAGGACTCTGGGACTCAGCAGGGACAGAGGAGACGCCAGGACCCGGGGTAAAGCCATTTCACCCGGGGTAAAGCCAACCCGCACCTTTGCACGTGCGCCAACAGCACATACACCTCACCTAACCCAGGCACGGGCCGCTAAAAGCCACGTTACGCATCCCTGGAGCGTGGATTCACTGCTCAGCTTATGCTACCGGAGATAAATCCCACCCCAGGCTTGCCCAACAGCTTGGTCATACAGAATAAGCAACAAGGAGAGGTTTGGCCCCAGTCCCAGGTCGGTGCTTTGGTCACCAGACCTCCCCCGTGCCGGCCTGTTACTCACAGGGTGCTTCCTGCACCTCTATTTGGGTCACAGCACTCGCAGCAAAGCTGGCGTTAGCTTCCCGAGGTCAATGCACTTAATCCAAGTTAAGTTAACCGACTGGGATCATTAAAGCGTAACAGAAGGTAGCGGGGAGGAGGAAGAGCCCTGCTCCTGCGGAGATAAAAGCCTCTCGTATCTCCTCGAGGCGGGACACAAGCAAGGCAAGGAAATTCAAAGCGTGCTCGGGCTGTGCGAGCACACGTATGCCAGGAGGCAGAGCGACGCTGCCCGAGCCATCCTGGCTTTTTCTGGCTCAAAAGCGCCGCGGATTTGAGGGTTTTCTCAGCAGCAATGTGAACACAAAAGGAAGCGATTCGGCCCCCAGGTGCAAGGGACCCTGAGAATAAAAGGTTCTGCGAAGCAGAGGAGAAACCATCGCGCTAATGACAGCCCGGCCGGCCCCGCACGCCCCAAGGACTGGCATCAGCCGGGGAATTCAGCGTGTCACGTGGCGCTGCAGACGAGAAACCATGCGGGTCGCAACTAGAGCACAAGCTGCTCCAACCACCAAGGCCCTGAAGAGCTTGGGAGGAGACGGTGGAGAAAGAGGGATCTGAAACACAACGGCCTACGGAGGCACCTGAAAAAAATGAGTTCACTCACTCCGGTATCAAGATGTTGGGAGCGCAGCCGGGGATGGAAAGATGATGGGTGTTTCTTACACAGGATTTTAGTAGTAAGGAGATTTAGGAAATAGATGAGCTGTCCTGAAACAGAGCTCCTGTGGCAGGGTTGAAGGCAGCCTTCCGAACCTCTGTCCCATGGGGAATCCATGGTCCCACGGGAAAGGCCTCAGGTGCCTGGGCAGCTGACAAGCTGTCACATCCTGGGCTCGCTGCGGTATTTAAACAGGATCCCAGAGATGGTTCCTGTGCAGTGTCAGACTGAACTCTGTGAAAAGGGTATGTAATAGCCCTGAGCATTCACACCTGCATTTTCTTGAAAACAGATCACAGAATCATGGAACAGTTTGGGTGGGAAGGGACCTTAAAACCCACCCAGTGCCATGGGCAGGGACACCTTCCATAGCCCAGGCTGCTCCAAGCCTCATCCAGCCTGGCCTTGGACACTCCCAGGGATGGGGCATCCACAGCTTCTCTGGGAACCTGTTCCAGTGCTCCCCACCCTCTGCGGGAAGAATTCCTTCCTGATGTCCCATCTCCATCTCCCTCCTTCTGTTTAAACCCGTCACCCCTTGTCCTGTCACTCCCTGCCCTTGGAAAATCCCTCCTATAGATGAAAGTGGAGATGTGCAAGACGAACATCTTCAATCATTCCCAGTAAACTCAACGTGGCATTTTCTAGGCACAAGATTAGGAAAAAGCCCTTCTGTTGGCACCGGTGGACACTACAGGGAACAAGGCGGAAGCATGAGGAAGGTATCTGCGGCCTCACAATTTGACACTGTGCTGACACTGCGATAGTTCTGAGATTCCTACCAATTCCTCAAAAGAATCCTTCCTTGCAGTTCATTTCACCTGCAGGACAAATTTCCAGCCTATCGTCTCCGAAACGGAGCCGTAGGAGCAGAGCGCCAGGGAAGATCAGCTCAGGTCCGAGCACAGAGAGCAAACAAGGAAAGCAGAATCAACCCCAGCGACTGGAAAGGTGACGCTTTGGGTAGATTTTCTAAGCAGAGGTAAAACGGCTGCACGCAGAGCTGATGCTGCACCACAGCTCTGCCTCGGCCAAGGCTGCTGCCGA